GTGTGTGTGTGTGTGAGAGAGAGAGTCGCCCAGCAGCGATTAAATCTTCAAAACCACTTTGAGATCATTTCATCAATATAAACTCACAACTGATTCATACAGGAAATGTATGAAATGACTAGTCGGTGGGAGGGAAACATGCACATTTATGATTCATGCAGTAATAGAATCCCACCTGGAGAAGCTGAAGCGTCACATATAGATGATTCTGACTGGATCTGATCTGATGAGCTGATGATGTGATGATGATGTTCTCAGGAGCGTCTGACAGCAGAAACACACACACTGAAGAAGAACGGAGAGAGACACACACACGGGAAACAGCAGCAGGTGCAAACACACACACACCAGACACCACCAGAAACAGAGAACAAATTTAGCTCATAAAAACATTTCAAAACAAAGTTTTTAAGACACTGAAAATCCAATTCTTGATATGATTCAAACGTTATTAAAAGGTTGCAAAAATGTTTCTTACAGCACAAAATATTACCCAAAATATAACATTATTTGACATTTTCGTCAAGTACAAATAATATAAGGACGTTTAGAGAATGTTAATCGCTCAACATTGAGAACATCTGTGAGCCTGCAGCACAAAAGCAGTGTTGAGTCGCTGGGGGATATTTGTAGCAATAGCCAACAATACATTGTATGGGTCACAATTATACATTTCTCTTTTATGACAAAAATCATTAGGATATTAAGTAAAGATCATGTTCCACGAAGATATTTGGTAAATTTCCTACCGTAAATATATCAAAACTTAATGTTTGATTAGTAATATGCATTGCTAAGAACTTCATTTGAACAACTTTAAAGATGATTTTCTCAATATTTAGATTTTTTTGCACCCTCAGATTCCAGATTTACAAATATTGTCCGATCCTAACAAACCATACATCAATGTTAAGCTCATTTATTCAACCTTCAGATGATGCATAAATCTCATTTTCGAAAATTGACCCTTATGACTGGTTTTTTGCTCCAGGGTCACATATACCAAATATTGATAACGTTATAAGAACGTTCCATAAACGTTACTTTAAGAATGTTTTGTCCTAACATTTATATAGTTTTAAATATGTTAGTGGACATTGTGAGAACGTTCCCTGTTAGCTCACATTGGACCGACACGCAACTCAACGCTCCTCATCTTGTGTTTGCAGAGAGGAATCATGTTTGAGATCAAGCTGAGCAATGAAGAGACGAAGACTGAGGAAGACGAGGAGTCAGAGGTGAAGTGACGCTCACACACACTCATGATGCACACTATCAGACGAGAGTTAGAGTGAGTGAGTGAGTGTGTGAGTGTCTGACTCTGTGTGTGTGTGTGTGTGTGTGTGTGTGTGTGTGTGTGAGAGAGTGTGTGTGTGTGTGTGTGTGTGTGTGTGAGAGAGAGTGTGTGTGTGTGTGTGTGTGAGAGTGAATGCGTGCGTGCGTGCATGTGTGTGTGCGTGTGTCTGACTCTGTGTGTGTTGCATGCAGGACGAGCCCCTGAACAACACACTGACGTTTGCACAAGGAGAAAAGCTACGCAACCGACCGCAGGGGTCAGAGGTCAGACAGGAAGTGGAGGAGGAAGTGGTGAAGAGAGCCGAGTGGCATCGAGACGCAGCTGAGACGTTTCTGAACGCTCTGGAGAACATGGATGTGATGACAGAGAGCAGCATCAGTCTCGCTCAGACCGGTGACACACACACACACACAAACCTGATCTTATGAAATGGAACAAAACGTATAATAAACACTTTGCTTATGTGTTTTTTTGTTGAGTATCATATTTGATCCATCAGGCTTTTATGGTTCTGATACAGTGAGAATATGGAGGAAAAAACAGCTTTGAGCAAATTGAGCAAAAATATGAATTTGCTGCAGATGCTGATATTTATGATGAAATTCTGATATTTGTGATGTAAATCAATGAGATCTTTATAAGATCTTTATTAGTAGAGCAGATACTGACATAAAATGATATAAATATCAGTCTTCACTCTATATCTCCAGTAATAAGATGAGATTGAAATGATCAATTGGTATCCTAAAAATTAGGATACCAAAACAAATGTTTATTAAGAACCAAAATCTAAAAGGATATTGACATATCATTAAAACTTCTTGAGGTGCAGGCATGCAAACTTGTGCATTTCCCCATTTTTGAACGGACACCATTGGCATGTAATGCAACAAAGACTGCTAAAGTCACCAGATTTCACTAATAGAGCTCATCTCTGTGTGAAGATAATATAATGATGCTGCCATCTTTCTGAAGTCACTTTCACCCTCCTGTGATTTGGCTCTGAATCTCAGGTGAAACTTATACATTTGACCCCCCCACCACCACCACCACCACAAAATTGTGCATTATTCAGTAAATATTCATCAGTGGCATTTAATATTTTGGCTTTTGTCATGATTTGTTTTTTTTTGTCAGAAAAAAAAAATTTATTTAATAAAAAAATTTAGCTGCTTCTGACTGTATTTAGGTTCCAAAATTAGTGTTCATTTGTGATTCTCTTGATGAACAAAACATGTAAAAATCATAAACTTTTGTTGTTTAACTGTAGTTTCAGAGGAGCAGGAGGGAGGAAACAGGAAGCACTGGACGAATCGTCTGCCGGAGACACTGCTGAACGCTCTCGCTCAAGCAGACATCATGGACTGCAGTACAGGTACACACACACACACACACACACACACACACACACACACACCCACACACACTCCCTCTCACTCACAGACACACTCACACACACACTCACACTCTCACACACACACACACACACACACTCACTCTCACTCACAGACACACTCACACACTCTCACTCTCACACACACACACTCACACACACTCACTCTCACTCACAGACACACTCACACACACACTCACACTCTCACACACACACACACACACTCAC